GGGGGCAGTCCGGATGATCCACAGGGAAATCCGCTGTGCTTCGGGTATTCGCTCAAGACGTGCAAGGTGACAGGGGCTAAGTGCGGCAAAGGCTTGCACAAGTGCTGCCTGTGCTTTGGGGCTCATCCGATGCTGGACTGCCCGAGGCGCAAGACGTCGTGACTAGGCGACGATGGTCCGAGCCCGGAGCCTCGCGCGAAGCGGCCAAGGGGCTGCGATCCGCGGGGGGGGGGACTGACAATCCTAATCATTCTCAGACTGCATGTTCTTTTCGTTTTCCCGGCCATTCGCCTACTGACTATTTTGGTCACCCCGCTGAGACTTTAGCAGCTTCGATAGCCGACCCAACACCGGAGGCCATTCAGCGAGTTTTGCAACTTTTGCCCAGTGAGGTGCCTGCGCGTGGGGATGCTAATGAAAGTTCGCATTCCTTTACGGTTGGAGCCTTTTCTAAGAATGGCAAGGTTGGGGTGCGGTCCTTCACCCGCTCGTTCCCCAATGTCACGCAGTTGCTCACACGGTTTGTGCATGCTCAAGCCCCGGGGCGCATCTTCGGCGCCGTGGCGTGCTTTACCAATTTGGCTGCTGAGTTTCATTGCGATGTGAATAATGATTCTCGCTTTAATAATTGGGTGTGCCCGTTGTCGCGGTTCCAGCAAGGCGGCATCTGGGTGGAACGTGAGGGTGGCCATGTGTGCAAGTTCGCTCGGGGCAAGGAGCGAGCCGGGGTCGTCCTCGATGTGTCCCAGGGACCCGTCGAGCTGCCATCGCATTGCCTGCACTGTGTGCTGCCCTGGGAGGGCGCAAGATGTGTCTTGGTGGCGTTTGTTCCGGCCGCTCTTGAAAACCTGCTATCGGCAGACAGGGACTTCTTGAGCTTCATGGGATTTCATCAGCCTCAAGCTGGTGTGGTACCCTCCGAGGCCGCACATCAGGTGAGCATGCTCCCCGCCGTGGCATTTTCGGAGCCCGCGTCGACTTCACCCGTGCTGGCAGTGGACCTGGGGTCTAGTCCTTCTTTGGGGATTCCCGCCACCTGTCCCAACCCTAGTCCCTCAGGTCCTAGGATGGTTAAGCCCTTTGCCTTGGAACTCTTCTGTGGCACAGCAGGTGTGTCTGCAGACCTCATGCGGCGAGGTTTCGAGGTCCTTGGGGTAGATCATCATCTTAGCCCGCGACGCGTCAAGGCACCAGCTGTTCGGGTTGACATCTCCGATCCAACTCAGCAGCACGTCCTCCTGCAGGAGGTTCGCAGGGC